TGTATTGATTTCAGAGAGAGGAAGGGAGAGGGGGAGAGAGAGAGATAAACATCAATGGCGAGTCATTGATCAGCTGCCTTTTGCACGCCCCTAACTGGGCATGTGCCCTGACTGGGAATCGAACCACCATCTCTTGGATCCTAGGCCGATGCTCAACCGCTGAGCCACACCCGGCCTGGCTGGATTTGAATTCTTGGCACCTCTTACCAAGCCTATAACTTTGGGCAATTGACCTAAGCCTCTGTATTTTCCTCTGTAAAACAGAGACAATTATCTCAATAATCCTTCCATCAGAGGATTGGTATAAAGATTAATTGAAATAGCATGTGTAAAGTGTTTAGCACTAAGGATGTACTCAGTAATAGTAAAAATGCTATTTTAAATAATATTTGTTAATATACAAATATATTCTGTAATCTTCATAAAACAGCTCTCAGTTGCTTGCCTCATGAGCCCCTGACCCACTGCTGGCACCACCCACTCTAGGGCTCTGGTGTCTGAAACTACTCCCGAACTATAGGTTTTGCCTCCTGACATTGCTTCTTTGGAAGCTGCGAAGTCCTTTCCTGGTTTTTGACTTTCAGGCTCCTGGGACAAGTATTTTTGTAACTCATTGCTACAGCTGTGCCCTCATTCATTCATTCACTAGCGTGACTGCCCTCCTCTTCCATTTGCTCCAGAGCTGGAGCTGCTCATTTGCTGACTGGGAAGAAGGGGTATTTGTGGATGCAGTCCCAAAATAGATCACTTTGTTCCTGATAAGCAATGCAGGGAGAGGAAGCACATTTCCCAGAGCTGAAAGGAGCATTCACACCACAGTTTGAATGACGTCCAGAAACTTGTCAACCTTTAAGCCTGGCTTTTAGATAATTACATCCTTTGCTACTGTAGAGACTCGGAAATCTGCACAATTAAAGTGAGGAAAAAATCAGTCTCATCTAGATCTTTCCTCCCATCCAATACCTCCTCTGTATGAAGTGGCCCACTTAAGAATATATTCCATTCACTGAATTTCTGTTCTGCTTGTTATTGTTGATAGATCTTGGGCCTGGAGGAAACTTAGAGTAATCTGCTCTGACTCCAGAGGTGGGAAATACTAGACAAGGTATTGTTGATGAAAGGTTGTTGCCACCAATCCAACACCAACAGGAGTCCCCAATTTGGGACGCAGTGAAGGGGTAGAAACTTGTTTCACACAAACAGTTTGCAAACCTGGGAAACACAGCCTCTGATGGAAACTGAAAGTGAGGTCTAGGAAGACAAAGGGGAGCCCCCCTTATATAAAGAATATCCCTGCCCTGATCCCTGATTGGTCCATCTTTATGCAAATAAGGAGTCCAATTTCACGCATTCTGATTGGGCCAAGTAGCACTGTCCAGATTGGCCAGATTCCCATATTCTGATTGGTTGTTATGGGGCTGCTCTGATTGGTAAATTAATATGCAAATGAGGATATAGTTGTGCAGTTCTGACTGGATGAGGCAGACCTCGGCCTACTGGTCAAAATACCGTACCAGGAAGTCATTTATAAGGGTTGACTCAGAAGTCAGAAACACAGTGCAGGAGGGCCGCGGCTCAGTCTTTGCCTTTACCCTGACACACGGAGTGCATCAGAGGCCTCTGTTAGCAATGGCTGCTAAACTTTGGTTAGGAATCTGGGCCTACTTAACTATGAGGAGTCCTTTGCAGTTATTTTTCTTCTTGAGGTTCGCAGTATAGTGGCCAGTGGTGGGGGAGCTGGCTGGAGTTGCCTACTCTCTATCTTTTATGTTAGGTTAAGCGTTTTGCACACATACTTTACGAAGTCTTTAAGTATCTGATTTAATTGTGATATTTAGAATTGTCTATGTACTTTGCCCTCTCTTCCATCTGTTCACATCCTTCCATATCTTCATGACCTCACATTCTCTGGGAGACTTTTCCTAAATTTGATCATTTCCTAAGCACCAACACGTTCATTTATATGAGAAAGGGTGTAACAGAAAATTATTTGCTTTGAAGTTTCCTCATCCAAGCATATTTTTTTCCATTGCTTTTTAGAGAGTGGAAGGGAGGGATGGGGTGGGGAGAGAGAGAAAGAGGGGGACATCGATGTGACAGAGACCCATGGATTGGTTGCCTCCCACAGGTACCCTACCTGGGATCTGTCCTGCAACCCAGGTACATGCCCTGGAACCAGAGACCTTTTGCACAGGCTGATGCTCTAATCACTGTGCTACACAGGCCAGGGCTGATGTATTATTATTAATTAAAGTCCATACTTTATTCATATATATATATATTTAATCTAATGTCCTTTTTCTGTTCCAGAATTCCATATATTGTTACAGTTATCATATCTCCTTAGGCTCCTATTGTCTGAGTTAGTTTCTCAGACTTTCCTTTGTTTTTGCATAAAAGGCTTTTAACACATACGTATTGAAGGGATTGAAATTGTTAACCATAGTGGACAGGATTTTCTCTTTAAGTATGGGACCTTAAGGACATTTAGTATTTATTATCTAGTTACTTTATAAAAATACTTCCTCTATGTTAAGCACTCCCTTAGTAAATCTATACTGGTGGCCTTTTTTTTTAAATCCTCACCTGAGGATATTTTTTCCATTGATTTTTTTTTTTTTTAGAGAGTGGAGGAGAGGGAGGAGTTGGAGAGAGATATATATAGAAAGAGAAAAAGAGAGAGAAACATCAATCTGAGAGAGACATCAATTGGTTGCCTCCTGCATGCGCGCAACTGGGAGCGAGCCTGCAACGAAGGTATGTGGCCTTGACAGGGAGTCGAACCCAGGACCCTTTGGTCCTCAGGCCAACACTGTAACCACTGGACCATACTGGCCAGAGCTATACTGGTGATATTTGGAGTAGGTGCCCAGTAGGACAGACTGAGATCAAAATAACTGGGGAGGGGGGAACCTCAGGGAGAGAAGCTTCCGTTGTTACTGCCTCCTCTCATAATTATTGTTTTGTTGATGTTGGTATCACTATTATTATTGAAAGAGACATTGTGTAGTAATAGAGGCATAGTCTTTGGAGTAAAACAGCCCTCCTAGCTACTTATTAGCTATAATTTCTTGGACTATGATCTCAATGGGCCTTAGTTGCTTTACCTGTAAAATTGCTTTGCAGTGTTTTGAGAACTAGGGGAGAAGTTAAGAAAGTCTGTCACATGGTGCCTGTGCTTAGCAAAAGCATAATAGTTGTTGATTGATATTAGAAAAAATAGATCAAATTGTAAAGGGGAAATAAGGTTTTTAAAAAAAGGCAGTATGGAAGGCTTCTGTTTTTTGAGCATTTTCTGTAGTGGGTGGAATAAGAAAAAAAAGATGACTTTGGTTTGCCTGCATGTTTGGTATTAATTATAGAGTAGCTTCTTTGCTAGACAAGAACCTTTGGGTCCTTTTAGTTTGTGTACTGTGGGTTTCTAACCTCTGTGAAGAGATGCTTAGAAGTTTATCAGTGCTTAAGATTGTCCTAACATGGCTGCTTTGCTGTAGGTGCTGTGTTTGAAGAACGATATCATTTTAAAGAAAGCCTTTCCCCTCTTAAGGTAAGGATATTAATAACAATACTTAAATATAGTTAATATTTGCAAAAAAACACTAGAGAACAAATATAAATTTTGTCATTTTACAAAAGAGGTAACTGGCCGTGGCTGGGTACTCGGTTAGAGTGTCATCCAAATATGCCAAGGTTGCGGGTTTGATCCCCGGTCAGGGCACATACAAGAATCTACCAGTGAATGCATGGGTGAGTGGGAACAACAAATCAATGTTTCTCTCTCTCTCTGAAATTAATAAAATTTTTTTAAAAAGAGGAAACTGGCTCAGAGAGCTTAAGATAGATTTTCAGTCCCATGAGATTATACTGTTATTATCTGCATTTTAAAGATGAGATAACTGCCCGGCCGGGCGTGGCTCAGAGGTTAAGCATCGACCTAGGATCCAGGTGATCAGGGTTCGATTCCCGGTCAAGGCACCATGCCCAGGTTGTGGGCTGCAGCTGATCAATAACTCTCTCATCATTGATGTTTCTATCTCTCTCTCCCTCTCCTTTCCTCTCTCTGAAATCAATAAAAGATATATTTAAAAAAAATAAATAAATAAAAATAAAGATGAGATAACTGAGTTACAAAGATACAAAACAACTTGTGTAAGGTCACAGTTTGGAAATGATGGAGTCAACACTTAATCACAGATCTGCTTGTCTCTAAGTTGTTCCACAGTTTAGTGTCAAAGCTTTGCATGGTGCTGAGCGAAAGTGCTCTGATTACCTAGTCAGCCAAACAGAACCATTTCATTCTCCTGCATGTTCTGTGACTTCTGTTCCCAGTCTGGCTCTCATTGCTATCCCTTCCTCTCCCTCCCTGAACCTGTTCTGATCATGCCTGAACCTGTTCTGATCATGCAAGGGTATTGCAAGAACCACCTCGCTGGTTGCTGCCTCAGTCTCACCTCTTCCCATTCATTTCTCACCTACTGCCAGGTTTAACTTTCTAAAACTTAAACTTCACCACATCACTCCTGTGCTTAAACTCTGCCAGGAGCTTCCCACGGCCTACACAGAGTAAAGACCAGCTCTTTAGCACAGCATAACCTGGCCCCTGAATACCTCCTTCACCCTGTTGCCTTCTTTGTTGCTTAAGTTCCACTTACATCCAGCTGCTTGCTGTTCCCCAAACATACCACGTTTATCTCTCTGCCTAGAATGCTTGATCTGTAAGAGTAAATAATCCAGAAGAACCCATTTTTAAAGCTCAGCTCAAATACTTTTCACCTCCTTGGTGGAAATGATCACATTTTCCTTTGTGTTCCACCAAATCTTGTACATGTTTTTGTTCTGGATCAGGACTATAGTGTGGCTCACATTTGTTTATATTCAGTATCTCTCTCCCAGCTGGACCAGAGATACAAACATTTACTTATTTTTGTATCCTCAAGACCTAGCACATTGTCTGGTACATAGCAGGTACTTAATAATATTTATAGAAAGGAGGGAAGGGTAAGTATTGACTTACCCTTAATAGTCGTATGCAAGTTTTGATAACTATGCAAATAGTGGGTATCTAATTATATTCAGCATACTTTCTCCCTCTTTTTAGGTTGAAAACTTCAGGAGAGAATCCCATTTGTTCTGCAGGTAAGCATGTTTTTCCTGGTGAGGTCTGCTTGCTTTAAGTGGCTCTCTAACACTGTAATAATTTTGTCTAGAAAGATGACTAACATATCTTTGAGAAGAGTGACTGGGACCAAATCGTAGCTCTCACATGGAATAGGACAGTGGGCGAGAACCTAAAGTAGTGGTTAGGAGCAAGAGCTCTGCAATTTGTTTGGATTCTATCTCTACCACATACTTACTGTGTGACCTTTGGCATCATCCTCACTTTTAAAGAAAGGGGATAATTAGGCCCTGGCCAGGTAGCTCATTTGTATAGAAGGGAACTAACCCAATGCACCAGGGTTCAATCCCTGGTCAGGGCACATACAGGAGTCAACCAATGAATGCATAAATAAGTGGAACAACAAATCGATGTTTCTTTCTTTCTCCCTTCCTCCCTCTCTAAAATCAATCAATAAATAAAAATTTAAAAATGGGGATAATTATAGTACTAACTACAGTGAATTATTTGAAGATTCAATGAGATAAAATACATAAAGTGCTCAAAAAAGTTAGATGTTTTTGTTCTTGTTATTATTTTTACTATTAGTGCTACTATTCTAGATTTGTTTTTCATGTCCATCATTTACATGTACCAGGCTAGGGCTTTTCTTTTAGTATTTTGTAATGAATGTCCATTCAATCTGATTAACTCAGTAAGTTTTCATCTGTTTCAACCTAATTACTTACCATTTTTACTTTGTCTATTATGTGAGGAATTTCAAAGCAGTTGTATTCTAATGACATCTGTCATTTTTCAAAAGAGTATCAGAGCAAAGGAATGGGAGTAAAGAAGGGAACTAACATTTATTGAATGCCTAATATATGCCAGGCAATATATAATGGGTTTTATAGCTTTTAATTCTTTCAGAAGATGATTGCAATGTGTAGAGAATCACCGTTTCTTCTAGCCCCAAAGCCCAGGACCTCAAAATATGGGCTTCTTTTTATTATTCATTCTCTCAAAAACATTTTATACCAGGATGTGTTTTAGGTGCTGGAGATACATAATTAAGAGGATAACATCCTTGCCATTTGGAAGCTTACAGCCTTGTAAGAAATTATTTTTCCCCCAAGAATAATACAATATACACTTATGTACCCACCACTTAGATTTAACTGTTGTAACATTTTGCTTTCTCTATCAGACATCATGATACTTCACCTTTAAATACTTCAGCATGCATTTTTAGAAATAAGGACATTCTCTACATTGTTAAAGAGACACAAAACCATTATCTCATGTAAGAAAATTAATAATAATGCCCCAATATCATCTAATACTGTATCCACTTCCTTAATTGTCCCCAAAGTGTCTTTTGTGAGTATTGTTTATAACCAAGAGCCAATGAAGATTTACACCTTGTATTTCACTGTTATGTCACCTTTAATCTAGAATAGTTCTACCACTTTTCTATCATAGTGACTTTTTTATTAGGCGAGACCATTTGTCTTATAGAATGTCCTCCCTTCTTGAGTTGTCTGATTATTTTCTCATGGTGTTGTATAACATATTCTTCTGTCTCCTTCCAACAAACTGAAAGATCTAAAAGCTTGACTAGATTTAAGTTAAACAGTTTTAGGAAGAAGACTTCATAACTGATGCTCTGAACTTCATTATTGCATCCTGTCAGGAGATTTAAAAAGAAATAACTAAGAATGCCTGATTATATAAGTGAAAAACATACGTTTTAGAGAGTATGGAAAATAAACACATATATACACACATGAAGAAGCAGCTGAGGAAGCTGAAGAAAATAGCCCTGGCTGGTGTGGTTCAGTGGTTGGAGCGTCCACCTGCACAATGAAGGGTTCCAGGTTAGATTGTGGCCAAGGGCACGAACCTCGGTTTCAGGCTAGATCCCCAGTCGGCCAGTAGGGGGGCATGTGGGAGGCAACCAATCGGTGTGTCTCTCTCACATCCATGTTTCTGTATCTGTCTCTCCCCCTCTCCCTCCCCTTCCCGTCTTCCCTCCCCCTTCCACTCTCTCTGAAAAGCAATGGAAAAATATCCTCAGATGAGGATTAAAAATAATAATAATAATAATAAAAAAGCATGGCCCTTATTTAAAAAAAAAATCGCCTGTAATCCTACCGTCCAGAGATTGTTGTTTAACGTTTTGATGTATATCCTACCAGGTCTTTTTCTAGGCATTTCTCTCTCTCTCTCTCTCTCTGGTTCCCATTGTCTTGCAGTAATGGGAACCAATGATATATAATGCTTTATCATTTCCTTTTCCCTCTTAATCTATGGTGAACATGTTTCTACTATAATAAATAAATAAATACCTATATAATTATTTTGAATGTACTTCCTTAAAAGAAACAATTTGGAGGGGAAGATTTCTGAATCCGATTTTGAACATGTTGAATTGAGTGCTTGTGAGGAGGATTTTTTAGGTAGCCCATTGGATACATTGATCTTGAGCTCAAATATAGGTTTGTGCTGAAACTGTAAATTTGGAAGTCATCATAGTGTCAGTCTTAATTGAAGTCATGGGAATGAATGAGATCACTTGAGGAGAACAAGTAGAGAAGAGGCCCAAGGATCAGCACCTGAGGAACTCCAACATTAACAAATTGGATAGAGGGTGAAAGAGGTGGAGAACAGGGTTGAAATGGGAGGCCAGAATGGTGGGAGAAAACCAGGATAGTATAGCTTCATGGCAGCCAAAGTAGAGTGTTTAAAGAAGGAAAAAGTCTTCAACCACGTTAGTTTCAACTGTGTGCTGCTGAGACATCATGAAAGATATGAACTTAGTATCTTTGGCTTTAGCAACAAAAAGGTCACTGGTGACCTTAGTGAAAGCAGTGGCTTTGTAGGTGGAATGGATCGGTTGTGGAAGTCAACTGTGAATGGACACAAATGAATGGGAGTTCAGGAGTTAGAGAAAGGTATTATGGATGATGTTTTTACAAAGTTTGGCTTTGAATGGAAGGAGAGAGAGTTGGCAGCAGCTGGAGAGGAATGTGTGGCCCAGGAAAGGTTTTATTTTAGTGGGTATTTCTCTCTTAATTACACTTTTCATTTTGAAAGACTTTTATTTCTAAAAGTCAAACTGTTTGGGTCAAAGGAAATGCACATTTTTAAAGTTATTGATGTGTATTACCAAATTGCTCTCCATAAAGATTGACCATTTTATACTTCTTTTATATTTGAGAATCTGTTTTATACACTCATCAATATTGCTATTATTTTGTAAATATCTGCTAATATTATAAGTTAAAAAATGCCACTCCTTTTGTTTGTAATTTGCATGTCTTTGATTACTAGTTGCTTGAACATATTTTCATACATTCTCATACTGGCCACTTATGTTTTCCATTGCCCATTTTTTATTTGTTAGGGAATCCCAGAGTCTAGAACGCCCCAAGTCCCAGGGTAACTCACCAGTGTAGGCATGCCAAGATAATTCTACTTGAAAAGTTGGCATTTTTCATGGGTTCTTTGAGATACCTTTAAAGTCAGAAATTTCAAAATTTAATTATAATGATGTTAAAAAAAAAAAGTACGGAGCAGTATCCTATTCCTACCTTTACTTACCTTCCTCTCTGTGGGCCCTGGGCACCATCCCAGCTGCTCTCTCCAAGGCGTGGGCCTGATTGTAATGAACGTCTTTTTCTTACTGGTTTAAACATACATGGAGAGGTAGAAGTAAATATTTATAAAGAGGTCTAAAGAGGTTAAGTGAAGGGAACTCAGAGTCCTCTCATTATAGCATGAGCAAAACATGCTATAATGAGAAACATGGTACATTGCAGTCAAAATAGTTCAATGTAATTAGAAAACCTAAAAAGAGTTTGAAAAGAGATTTTAGAAAAAAAATGGGTAGCTGCCAGGGTCAAATCATTGCAGATTGTCTAGGTAAACTAGCTCAAGAACCTTAAATATATATATGTGTGTGTATATAGGGTGTCCAAAAAAACATACACACTTTGAATGATTATAAAATCAGTGTTTTATTAACATACAGTTCATTTTCAAAATTTAAAAGTATCTACAGAAATGAATGTGTATACATTTTGGGGGGACACCCTGTATACATACATACATACATACATGGGGTGGGGCAAAGTAGGTTTACAGCCCTCACCTATGTGGCTTGGTTGGTTGGAGTGTCATCCTATACACCAAAAGGTCACAGTTGGATTCCCAGTCAGGGCACATACGCAAGTTGCAGGTTTGATCCTGGTTGGGGTGTGTACCAGAGGCAACGGATTGATGTTTCTCTCTCACATCAATGTTTCTCCCTCTCCCTCTCCCTTTCTCTCTCTAAAGAATCAATAAAGAACATATCCTAGGGTGAGGATTGGGGGAAAAAAAGAGTAGGTTTACAGTTGTGAGTACGCAAAACACAGTTTATTCTTGTATTATTTATTAATTATTGCATTATTTTTCATGCAAACAACTGTACACCTACTTTTGCCTACATATATACTTTCTGAGCACATACTATTTGCCAGGGACTGGGTAGGGTATATGAGGGACTTGCAGTCTGTTGAATAGAGAGAATATCTTGTAACTAATTCTTGGCTGGTGCTACCCCAGTGTTTTCCTCTTTTCCTGCTGCATAGCCCTGCTAAAAATGCTTGTTCCAATTTTTATTGCAAGGAGAAATAATTAACATGAATTTGTTTACTCTTAACCTGGATTGATTGTTTTAGTACCCAGTTTAGTGAACAAGGACAGTGAAGAACAGTTGGCTCTGGCATTTATACTAAATGGATGTAATGTATGAAAAGTCAAGTCGTGGTTACATCCTATAATTGTGCTAACTGAAAGATTTTCAAAGCCTCCTTTTGAAACCCTGGGGTTTTGTGTCTTCTCCAGTGAAAAGAGTTGCCTTTTCTCTCAGGAGGCTGCAATGTTAACGTGACAGCAGGAAACCCAGCTTAATGATACAAAGCAGGGGGGGGAAGTCAGTTGAACTTATTAGAAATCAGAGGCTTTCAAACTTGTAAATTTTATAATTAAAACAACTGGCTAATTAAGCAGTTTAACCACTGGTAATTTGACCAAAACCTTTCATTTAAGAAGGAAAATGGTTAATTTAACAGTAGTTTGAATCAGCTTCTTAATTAACCAGCTGCTCTAATTATAGGAATTGCCCCAAACTGAACTGGAAAGTGCCTCCTTGCCAAGGAATTCCAATACATGAGGAATTCCATGGCAAGCATTTGTGGCACTTTCACCTGAGATATGCCATTTCAGAGATCACTTTTGGTCCTGCTTTTTGAAACCAGTGGAGGGTTATTGAGTTTCTGTGTACTTAGAGATGGTGACTGGCATCTGAGTTTTCCTTTTTATTTACACCAAAGGTTTTACTATGTAATGGAGGCATGGGAAAGCTATGAAGTCAACTCTTGATGATCTTTGTATGTTTAGGGCAGCAGAAGAGTGTCCCAGAGACTGTGACATTAGAGCTAGCCCTGGAGGCTCATAGGATTTCATTGGACAGAGATGCAGTCCCAGCAGGGAGGATTGCCCAGGGTGGCAGAGAGGCATGAAAACTGCATGGTTTCTACAGAATAGCAAGTGTATCTGTTGCTGAGGAGCAAGGTTTTAAAGGCCAGGAGGAGTTGGAGAATGAGATGATGTAGTTGGAACTAGATTATGAAATCAAGTTTCTTTAATGCTTACTTAAGGAGTGTTAATTAACCTTGGGCAGTGGAAAACCATCAAACATTTTGAAATATGGCAAAGACCTTCCTCGTCTCACTCATTGGTGTGCCTGTAGTGACTGGTATAGCACTTCACACATAGTAAGTACTTTTTGAAAAAATTGTGTGTGTGCAATGAATAAATGGTTGAATTAATGAAAGAGAATAACTTGATTAGGTCTGTGTTTTAGAAGGATTAATCAGTAAGCTCTAGAGCAGGGGTGGGGAACGTCTGACCCAAGGGCTGTATACTGTCCGTGAAATCATTTGGTCTGGCCCTCCCAAGGCAACCGCATGTGGGATTTGAAATTCAATAAATCTAGGAGCTTTTTGCATAGCTAATTTTTAAGTTGATAATTTTGTATGGCCCATGAATGATGTTATAAATATCCAAATGACCCTTGGCAGAGAAAAGGTTCCCCACCTCTGCTCTACAGGATGCAATAGAGAGGGGGAATGTGGATACTTTGAGATCACCAACAATAACTTAGCCAACGCTACCACTTGAATCTCCTATCCCTTCCATCCATGCTTCCTCTCCCCACAACCACCAAAGTCATCTTTTAAAAACATATCAGACATATAATTTCTCTGTTTATGGCTGTTCAGTCCAAAATCCAAACCCTTAACAAGGCCCAGTATTGTGTGTCCCGACCCACTGTTCTAGTCTCTGATGCTCTCTGTGCTCCTCACTTGGTGTCAGCCATACTGACGGCCTTTCTGCTCCTTGAATGTGCCAAAGCTGTGTCCTACATGGTATTTCCTCTGCCTGGAACATTCATCCTCTATCCTTTCAAACTCCTACTTGCCTTTCAGGTCTCAATTTGTTATATATATATATATATATATATATATGTGTGTGTGTGTGTATATATATATATATGTGTGTGTATATATATATATGTATATATATATATAAAATATCTTTATTGATTTCAGAGAGAGGAAAGGAAAGGGAGAGAGAGACAGAAACATCAATGATGAGAGAGTCATTGATCGAGCCCACAACCCGGGCATGTGCCCTGACCGGGAATCGAACCCTGATCACCTGGATCCCAGGTCGACGCTCAACCGCTGAGCCACGCCCGGCCGGGCTGTTTTATATTTTGAATAGGTAATACATGTACATGGGACAAGTTTTAAAAGATATAAGAGAGTATAAAATAGACAGTAAATGTCCCTCTCCTGTCTCCTAGCCATTTCCTCTCCCTGGGGATAACCACTATTTCCATTTCCCTTTGAATTCTGGTGTCAGATCATATTTAATTTTTCCAGAAAAGGACTTCCCTTTTACGCCAATCTAAAATAGATCCACTGGTTGTATTGCCATAGCAATCTGTGCTTTTTCTTTTTATTATTTATCTCAATTTACAGTTTTATATTTATTTGGTGACTATTCCATTAATGATACTCCCTCTAGACTGTCAGCTCCATAAGTGGAGTTTTGTTGGCCTCATCTACTTTTATATCCCCAACTCTTAACACAGTGCCTGGCACATCCCAAGTATTCGATAATTAAGCCCTTCCTAAGCTTTGCCTTTTCCTGTAAACTTACCTCTTGCCACCCTCCTCCTCCTGTTCTGCCTCGAGAGTCTCTGGCTCTTCCCCTCCCCATACCATGTTCTCTTCTCACTATCTTAGTCATCCTTCAGTCTTTACTTAAAAGCTACCTGCTCTAAGAATCCTTTCCCAGCACCTCAAGTCCAGCCTCAGTGCCCCTCCCATGTATAGCCCGTATCGCCCTGCACTGGTATTAGTTTCTCCACTAGATAATGGGTCTTTATTGCAGGGACTTTGTCCATTGTTATAGCCACAGCTTCTAGGGCATTGCATGGTACCAGTAGTCCTGCCATAGATGTTGGGTTGGTTATATACTGCACAACTCTCATGTGTGCCATTCATGTGGCTGTAAGATAATTATCACTGGCCACCTTGATGGGAAATAATAAATATTTATTAAGTGAATGAACATGTTTTGAAGAGGTCAGTGCTTTTTGAGGTCTTATTTTGAGGTCATGATGAAATCTTATTGGATAAGATTAATATGCAAGGCTCTGGTCTGAGTCCCATTGTGTACCCATTAAGAGGATTTGGGTATCAGCTCCTTGAGTGGGGTCCCAGGTTGCAGAGTTGGAACCTGAAGGCTCAAAGGGTCAAAGGTCTTAGATTCAGAGAGACAGAACTGGGGCAGCGACCAAGAACACACCTCAGTTATGTTCAGTGCTCTTTGGGAACCTCTGCCCTAAATACCTCCGTCTTCCTTGCATGGTAAACGCTCACTCCTCTTCCACAGATGCAGCTTTTACCTCTTCTGAACCCATTCCCCTGCACCCTTCCCCACTGCCACCCCCAAGGCAGAGTTAGTTGTTTCTTCCTCTAGGCGCTCACTACCCTGCTCTCATCGCCATTAAAGTATTTAGTGCACCATAAGGTAATTACCTGTTTTCCCATCATCCTTGCCCAGTACACACTGATTGTCTAAAACTAGATGGTTTTAAAAACTTTATGGAAATATATGATTGTCCTTTTACCTGGTTATATTTGCCACCTGTCACTTTCTCTGTACAATTTGCAGTAGAAAACTTCAAAAGAATTATTGCCTGTTAAGGAACAAGAGGAAATGAGAACGCTGTGAGAATGTATTTTATCCCTATACCACCAGTGGCTCTAGCAGGAGAGAATTTCTTAAAGAAAGATAGGTAGAGGGGATTGGATATAGTCCAGTGGCCAAAAGGAAAGAAACAGGGTAAACTGAGAGTCAGCCCAAGATAAAATAAATAGCTCTGGTTCTTTAAACCAATAAGAAGCCCACTACCTCCAAATAGTCCCAGTCTTGCAATGGAGAATTTGCCTCCTCATGTGTGATCTGTCCCTGGAGGAGCTTTGAAACAGGTTTGTCTTATTTTCTCTCTTTTAGGTGGCATTCTGCTGAGTACCAGTCGGCACTACAAGACAAAGCCCACCCATGGCATTGGAAGATACAAGCACTTAATTCAGGCACAAGAGGTAAAGGGGGCTGGGATCCTTCAGAAAAGGAGAGGGTATAGCTTTTGCAAACACCCAAAGATCAGATCTGCATACGTTGGCTAGAATTGGAGCTAGAAAGAATAGGGGGTTGTCCCTCAGTCCTCTCCAGTTACTTAGTTTGGATACTATCCAGAGTGACGTTTCTGCCATTTCCCAGTCTCGTCCCTCCCTAGGCCAGGTTATCACAGTGAAAAACAAATGACTTAGTTATATTATTTGTGATACTTTAAAAATATCTTCCTAGTACTTAGTTCAGTGTGGACCTCACAATGGAAATGCTATATTCAGTTTAGCTGCATGAATGGTGGCTAGTAGAGGTGGACTGACATTTTCAGCCAACTAGCTGAGTTTTATAGTATTTGCAGATTTAAAATATGTATGTGTTCCTTGATTGCATTATCACAGATAATTGGGAGTTAGTTCTAAGCATTATAAGATCATTCAGCCTATTTCTCTGGCTCCAGCTGCAGTGCAGGGTTGCTTCTGGGTAGTTCTATTTCTGTGCATGTGCAGAGGATTTTCTGGTGGGGCGAACACAACACTGGCCTGAAAGTTAGGTCTGGCTTTGAGTCATGATTCTATCACTTCCTGTAAACAGTGCAGTTAAGATTTTGCTGTTCTACCTGAGGAGTCTACAACATCACTTTTGGTTCTTGGGCTTATTATAATGTTCCTACGTAGACATGCACATCTCCCATTGCCTCTCTCTCCTTGGCAGAAGTGCAATACCACTGTACTTGGGCCTCAGAAGCCACTAAACTTGTGTTCTCTTGAGCACCATCCTTATATCAAGGAATTTCACTAGAGGAACATTGCCATGTCTGAGGCCTGTATCAGGCAGCCTCCCAGCAGGAAACAGCCCAACTAAAACTGTTTGTTTTTACTGGAAAGAATACGCAGTTGGGAACCAGGAAACTTGTGTTATAGGCTCATTAGCTTTGTGACTTTGGATAAGTTAACCTTACTCCTCTGGGCATGGTGGGCCCTGACATTTTGTGTAAAATGTTTTCTGTGTGTGAATTTTTCTGAGAAGAGAGCTCATAGCTTTTTTCAGGCTCTTCAAAAAGGTTGAGAAAGTCTGGATTAGAATATCTTTAAGAGTCTTTCAGCTTTGGTATCATGTAATTCCACAATGCTATGAAATATTAATTGAATATCTACTGTGTGCTAGGCACTGTTGGGGGTGACTTGCCTATTCAGACTGGGTTGCAATAACATTTGATAGAATGAATGAACAACATCTGGTTCATGCTCAGAAGGAGCTGGTAGACCATTAGAGTTAAGACACAGATGATTATGCTCCCAAGCAGAAAGTGACAAGTGCTAAAAGGAAGATATAAAGTGCTATTAAATGCCCTGGCTGGGTAGCTCAGTTGGTTAGAGCATCGTCCCAATACACCAAGGTTGTGGGTTTGATTCCCCATGAGGGCACATACAGGAACCAACCAATGAATGCATAAATAAGTAGAACAACAAATGGATATTTCTCTCTCTCTCCCTCTAAAAATAAATAAATAAATAAATAAAATAAAGTGCTATTAAAATTCAGAAGAAGGAGTGATTTACATTTTTTCTGAGTTGTGACACTTTAGAGTAGTTGTTGGAGCTGTTTTATTTTAGGACATTCCCTCTTCTAAAAGTCCCACATAAATTAGTTGGAAATGAAATTGGTTTTGTTGGTGTGTGTGTGTTTTGTGTATGGTTGGTTTTTTTTAATGATTTGAGATCTTCCATCTTAAGATAATTTTCTACATATGCCATGCTCCGACACACTCCTTAGCATAGTATAAAAGGAAGTTTAATGCCATATTTAATGCCATCTGTCCCCATCTTTCTCTCTAGCTTCTTCTCCCATCTCCTGGGTACAATGCTTTAACTGCACTGGGCCTCTTCCTTTTCATCCAAATCACCATACTGTTTCAAGGCCTCTCACATGCTGTTCTCTCTCCTTGGAAGACCTTCTTCCCTTTTCCACTTGGCTAATATATCCTCAACCTTTAAATCTTAGTGAGAAGGAGGGTGAGGGTGGAAAAAATGGATCTCCCCTTCTGAGAAACCTTCCTGGATTCCCTGCACTGGGTAATTTGTCCTGCCATGAGCTTCCAGAGTTCCTGTGCTTCCTCTTTCCTAGAACCTACTGCTCTATTTTAACCATCTGTTTTGGTGACCACCTCCCCTTCTAGATGGTGAGCTCTCCAAGGGTAGAGGCCATGTTTCATGTTTTCTGTATCCTCAGTGTCTAGCACAGGGCCTGGCATCAAATAGAGGACAGTAAATATTGATTGAGCTGAACCTAAATGTGGTTATTGAAGCTGCCCCGAGGTTTTATAAATCAGAACTGGCAAACACAACCCACTGTCTGCAAACAACTGGCTCAGATGACCTTGGTTGCTTGAGGGAACGATGCTCCCTGTATTTGCCGTATAGGCTTTTCTCTGATGTCATTCATTGTTCTGGGGTGGCTAGCACAGTAGTGCTGGATAGTGGTGGAAGTTGCTGTAGGCTCCTCGCTTCCTGGAGGGGACAACACAATGAAAGCTCTTTAGCTGCCAGCTTGCAGAGGCTCTGTCCCAAGTTTCTGTCTCCTTTACCCCCCTGGAGAACTGGACTGGAAAAGCTAGAAAGCATCTTGTAGCCCCCTTTCTCTCCTTAAGCCTAGAACCTAGAAAAAACAATAAGTAGCCAGATTCCCATTTTTTCATCTCTGGGTCTCAGGCTGGGCCTTCTACGCTTTTGAGCCCCACATCCCTGAGATGAGAGTTAATTCTCATGCACAAAGCGCCCAGCCCTTGTCCCATTTCTGCTGGCATAATCTCTTCACTCCTCCTTTCAAAGGTCCCACACTCAGTCTTAAGACCCCTGAATCTTGGGAAGGAAAATGCATACCTACCTCATCTCAGTTTTCCTTGGAAATACTGGTTTTACCTCTTTCTTTTTTTCATGGCCTTGTTTTTTCCCATCCCTCCATCCTGTGCCCTTGTCCTTGTTGCTTCTCTGGAATGAGTGATAGGGGAGATGAAAACAAAGCTTCCTCTTGGATGGTAACATGGGGGATGACAGCAAACCATGGGACTCCGGGTCTCTCATAGCATGGACCCAACCTCCTTCTCAGTGATTTTTCTTTTTGCACTTTATGCTTCAGGCACATTTCTCATATACCCATGCTGTCTCATGCCTCTGTGCCTTTGCACATGCTCCTTCCCCTTTATGGGATGATACCTTTCTTTTTTGTCTCATCTGTAAGTCCCACCTTGACTCATGGCAGTGAGGGAGCACATTTCAGAGCATATCTCCAGACCTAGTACTGTGTCTCAATGTGTAGATCCCATTATTCTTCAAAGAACCTGCATTATTCTGTTGAATGTAAAAGGCTTCAGGGTGCTTGGAGTGATTTTTATTTGACAGAAATAAAAATAATGTAGTCCTTCATTTTTTTTATAGTGCTAGGTTGTTTCTCCCAAGACTGCTTATGTACTTGCCCTCAGCTGTTGCCCTGCCTGCGATCTCTGGGTAATAGCAGCCCAAGAATCAGAGAGTTGCCAAGAGAAGGTGTGGGAAGATGAAACAGAGGCAACATAAATTGCTGTTAATTTGTAGTTGTTATATATTCTATCTTCTAGACCCTGGGGCAAGAGAGTAAGGTGTATCTTTTGTAACATAGGTAATTTACTTATTTTTTATAGAATGGCCCCTTGGACTCAAGATACCTTTTCCCTTGGAAACTCAATGCTATTTTTACTGTTGCCATAGAGGAGATATCTGACATTTCTGACACCTGTTTATTTTGTTGTAGCACCCTTAGATAGATTCTCTCTGTCAGGAGGCTGTGGCATCATTCCTGGAAAAATCAGTAGCTCAGAATCACTTTACTGTGACAGTCCTAGCTTCCTGGAAACAGAAAGATTGGTTTTGCCAGTCCAGTGACTATAGGGCTAGGCATGGGTTATAGGACTGGTTTAGGAAGAGTTTTAAACTAGCATCCATGTTTGCCCCCACATATACCTCTTGTAACTCACTGAAAAGAAAAACTGTCATTGAGCATCTACTATGTGCCAGGCACTGTGCTGAACACAGATGGTTCTCAGGTGAATGGGACACAGTCTCTTTCTAAAAAAGTGTACAGTGGGCTAGGAAAGATAGTACTCAAAATTGTAACTAATGCACGTTTTAAGTGCTTTACTAGGAGAATGAACTAAATATCAAGAGAACAAAGATAGAGAATCAATTCTCCCTGAAAGGGTCAGTGAAAGCGTTATGGAGTTCAGCTCAACAGACATTTACTAAGTGCCACCTGTATTATTACAGTGAGTATGTAAAGTGAACAGACATTCCTCTAGGAACATCCAGTTGCCTGGGGTAGCTGGAAACACTGGGTCTGTAAAGAACATAAAAGAGTTTCCCAGGGCTTTTCTAGGCACAGAGAGTGACTCCTTATGAAGACCTGACTCTTAGCCTGTGCCATTGAGCACCCTGGTCTGCAGCCCACTGGAGTCTTATTCTACTTTGCCTATTTTCCTGAATGACAACAGTGTCAGAGCTCTAGAGGGATTCATATTTGATAGGGTGATAGTAATGATCCCTTTCCATTTCCAAAGTGCTTTCACATCCATTATCTCAATGCCTTTCACACCATATGCCCTCAGAACAGTGGTGATCCTAGAGCTGAACCCCTCCTCAAGTTTACTAATGCAATCTGCCACATTTTAACAGGACATTAGGTTAATGGATATAATTTTCTAAATTTCAAGTTTTTCTCCCATCAGTTTTACCTGATGAAAACAAGTATTAACAGAGAAACTCAGATATGTTTTCATATTTTTTGAGATGCAGAGAACTCCATTTATATAATATAACCATATTTTCTGCTTGTGAAATTGTTTTTGTTGAATATGATGAAAGTATGTTGATGAGTATTTCATGTTGTTTCACAAAGAAAAACATGATATTTTTGGCTTTTTGCAACCAACAAATTTGAAAAC